ACTCAGACGATGACGAGAGGAATCCAGGCTTACTTGATGCCTCAATCGCCCAACTGTTAAACTCAGACACCGAGGATGAACAATTTGACGGATTTATATAAGAGGAATGATTGAAATATATATTTCCACCGCTAGCGTGGCTGAGTTATGGGCAAATCCGACAAGATGAAATCACAACGACGGTCTTCTTTTCCCATAGGTCAAACTGTCGATGGCGAAGGCAAAAACTGATCATCTCCGAAGGTGGAGAGTGCCAGTAGTCAGAGGATATATATATGTAGATTGCGAGTAAAAGCTGCTACGGATTGGCAACGGTGAGAAAATACAACTGCAAATCACTTACAGGTGACGCAATGCTCTAAGAGCTGAAAGAAACTTAAAAAAATCAAGTAGGGCATTGCACACGTCAGCTAGTCAGATGAAAGGACGAGAGGCCGTTATAGCTCAACGGTGGAACGACTCAGCTCTACAAAGGAACGCCAAGTCAAAGTACAGGAAAGGTACGATACATTATTTACGGGAGATTGAAGGACAATGTAGCAAAGTGTACAGCAGTTTAGTTAGGCATACAAGACTGGTTCTGACAGCTTGAAAAAAATAGTGACTCAAAATAATCGAGTTATAAGCGCCGACATCAAGCCATTTTCATTAACAGAGTGAAAAATTTTAAGAAGAAAAAGGACAAATGCAAGAACATGGAAAAATGTACTAGAAGTTCATCATTGGTGATTTCACCGCGAACGACAGACCACAGAAAGGAAACGAATGGTTTGTAGGCCGATTCGTTACGGCGAAAGGAGCTACAAGGGTGACCGACTAGATCAGTTGTCAGGAAAGGAAAAATTATGAACAGCTGATGTGTTTGTATTGCTTGAATTACTGAATGTTCATGAATTCATCACGGACACGGGAGACTTGCCGATGCCAGTTATACATTGCGGCATCGAAAAATTTTAAGTATGTAGCGTAAATATAAGCTTCGAAAAGGTTACTCTGAAAGAATCATATAAAACCACTGACCCCATTAACATAACACGTGGTTCCATTTCGAAAGTTTACTACAAGCATAAGACCAGACTAATCATGAACTGTGATTTCCGATGGCCATTCACGATGTTAATGTGAATTAGAAACATACGACGATATTTTGACCGAAAAATCAAAAGTTTTCAAAAGGTCAAAATAACGTTCGATCTGCAGAAATGCTGCCCCTTATTATTTTATTTAAAACTAACATCGTGAAGAGCTACGGAGGGCGGGAGGTTCATTCATAACTAATCTGTAAATGAGTCACAAAAGAATTTCCTAAACTGAGTAATTATATTTAGATTTTCATACGAAAAAAATAACACAGATGCTAAAAAAATCAAGTCCAACCTGTTCTGGTTTCCAAAAAATCGAACTGCGCTGTTTTCATATGCATACGTTAAAATGCGGATTATATACGCAAGGTACACTGATTAGTAGGAAAAAATGCGCTGCACAGAATGCAGATCTTGTTGATCATCAAGCGCCAATCTGCTTTCAGCGCGTTAATACATGTATAGAGCTCTGAATGCTTGGCATCCATATTCCTTCGTCTAATCTGACGCACTTACCTTCATCCCAAGAATCAATGTATTCAACATGATGATGACGAAGATGCCGTATTCGAACGGCTGCGACGTTACGAACCACCAGATGCGGTATTGAAAGCGGTTTTTTGGTATATAGCGGCGCTGTGGCTTGGCCGTAAGAGCAAATTCTATGCATTTTCTCTAAACTCGACAAAATATACAAAAAATGCTAATATTAATAAACTAAAACAATACAAAGCACAGATAAAAAATGACATATTCAGATTTAAGTTTTACTCGACTGAGTTCCGGAACTTTCGATGCTCAAGATTTTTTACGGAAATCTGGTTACCTCAACTTTTCTGACAGAAAGAATCGCTTTGATAACTCAGCTAGTTCCAGTAGCTAGAGTATCTTGTGAAGACCCCATTTTGCCTTGTGTTGCCCTCACTCATTATCACCTCTACCAGGAAGTGGGTCCACTGGCAAAGTCGTAATGGCTGGTGCAATAAAATAACCCTAAGGAAAATTGCAGCGTAGTTTTCGAACGAACAGCTCTGCTTCCGGTCTGGACCCGAAAATCGATTAGACGCGCGAAAAACGACGCGGTACGGTAACTTTGTAGTGGAAGAACCACACGTATGTAAAAGGAGTCGAAATCTGCTGATCAAGTATGCGAATGTTTAATCATTTTGACATGGGAGACTACGCCGGAAGCAACTTCCGAAGATTCAGG